TTGGGCCTTCGCACAACATTACAAACGGCCGAAAATTTTTAAAATCGGACGATAACCACGCCCACATCCCATATAACGGTAATTTAGAGAAATACAAAATCTTCGATAAAACATTAAATATTAAAGCAAATTTATTCAAAATTGATGCTTGCAACAATTCTTAACCAGGAAATACGTTTGTGATAAAATTTTGGAAAATGGACGTGGCACCGCCCACTTATGATCACATATGTGTATCTCGCTAACCGTTCTACCAATTTGTACCACACTCGGTATGGTTATTGTGCTTGCCACATAAAAGCAAAACGTTGAAAATTATTGAAATCGGACTAAAATTGAGGCCGCTTTTCATATAACGGTAAATTTCAGAACTGCTTGAAACTTCAAAATTTCGAAATTTAACGACTCTAATTTACTCAAAATTGATACGCCCCAGCTTACCATGTAGCGGTAGCTTTCGGAAAAGTGAAAGTCATATATTAAATACTTGCGCCGGGTATTTAATGTTCGGCTCCGCCCGAACTTAGACTTTCTTACTTGTTTTGATTTGGCATTGGTGTTTTCAATCTTGCTATGAATATGTTGATGTGTGAATTCATAACTGCTTTGACTGAATGGAAAATTTAAAACTTATAAACCTCAATCATAAGCGAGGAATAAGTAATGAAAACTGAAAAGACAAAAATTGTTGATTTAAAATTGAAAATGATTTCACACTTACACAACTTAGCTATGTACATAGAACAAAATGAACAAAAGTTATTTGAAGCGTTCGGACGTTCCGATTTTCAATATACTAAAAATCGATAATCCTATAGCTTTCCGAAAAAAATTTTATGCGACTGGCAAGAGTTACCAAAACTAGCTTTTGTAGGAGTTCTGGAAGGTATGATTTCTCCGAAAAAAAAGAAAAATTAAAAGTGTAGTTGGAAAGCCGCAAATATCTTGAAATGGAATGGACCAATTAGTCCAATATTTTGGTGGGTAAAAGACAAAATATGTAGTTATCGATTGGCATCTATAAACATGGCCAGGCAAACTTCTATTTGTTTGGTCTTGGTTTACACTTTTCAGGAAACACCCGTATACAGGTACATAGAACATACATACATACATATAACTTAAAACTGCTGCGATTAAATGGTAAATGAAAACAACAAATCTAAATACTGCAGCGGCTTGAAATACATAAGCCTAGATAAATAGGAGTTTGACATTTATGTACATACGAAGCACAAACGAAGATGAAAACGACAAAGTGAAATATGCAAATCATACCGTATGAAGTAGTTACTTTGACAAACGTTTTAAACATATAAATGAAATCAGGCACTTTGAGACAATTGTCAACATATTGAATGCGGGCTGGCTGCAACAGTAACTTAAATTAATAAAGTAAGCAGTAATGGAAAAATAATAACCAAATCCCTTTTTTATTGTACATACATGACGTGGTATTGGATTCCGCATATACGAGGTATTTATATATGTACTATCTAAGTCTGAATTCATTTGAAATGGTCTTTAGTCGACCATGTATATTATGTATTCTTTATATTATAAAACAAATACATACATATGTAAGTAATATTAATACATTCATTCCAAATATTCTCACTTGGTTTCACTGCTGGGGCTAGCACTGCTGCTGCTACCCAGCAAACACAGTCTCTAACGTTAGAGAAATTTGGATTTTTGCATTAGATAACTAGGGTAATTCTCTAATCGCTCTCGAGTCGATGACGAAGTTTGAAAACTACATTAGAATTCGGTTCGAGAACGATTAGAGAAACAACGCAAATTCAAATTAATGTAAATAAGCAATATTCCAAATGAATGAATTATAAATTATTTTTAAGTTCAAATAATCCATTATTATTTTATTGCGAATACATTTAATAAAAATTTTGCAAAAAAATGCGTTTTATTTAATAAAGCAAAACAGCAGTTTGAAATTCACATTCGAATCCCATTAGAGATCAAAATTAGAATTCGATTAGAGAATTAATATTTTGTCGAGAACTATGTCCCATTTTTGTTGAGATCGCTATGATTCTCGATAGTTTTTCGAGTCGTTCTCTAACGTTTCAGATTTGAGAATGTGGCTAGTTCCAGCGTTGCCAGGTTGACGTTTTTAACGTCATTTGGACGTTTTTTGTATCCTGTTGACGTTTGGACGTTTTTTGTGTATAAAATGACGTTTTTTAACTTCCCAGTAATTTTTCTCTGTGACTAAATCTTGTACTAAGTAGAACTGATTTTGAATTATTTTCTTAATAAATATTTACAAGCTTTGTTTTTGTTTTGGCTTCTTGGGCTAAGGACCTCGTGTTCAAAGGCTGTTTGTATAAACACTTGAGGTTACGAGGCTTGTTGTAATGTTTGCAATTGCACATTAAAAGCTAAATCAGGAAGAGCTGATCTCTTGCAACACGCACGCTCGCAAAAGCATCAAAAAAGCTGTAGCATAAAGAGTCAGAAAAAAGTAGGCGAAAAAGGCTGAAATATTGTTATGCTCCTTCTTAGCAGAACGTAATTTACTTAGGGTTTACACCGGACAATACTATCATGACCAGGGAACGGATTTTTAGGACCTAAAAACCTATAAAAATACAAAATAAAATAACGAAATAGGCTGGAAAAGGCAAAATAAAATAGCGAAAAAGGCAGGAAAAGGCACTATGTATTGCAAAAAAGGCAAACCAAAATATCGAAAAAGGCACNAAAAAAAGGCAACATCAAATGTGTATATATGGAATCAGGGAAAACTAAATCGTGGACATTTTTAATCGAATATACTCTATCTCTTTATCAGAAAAAAGGCAATTTCCATAAAATCCGTTCCCTGACAATGACAATAGCAATACATGCACACTTTTTCAATAACCCATGCATACTTTTCCATTGGAACAATTTTGACAACTAATACGTATATCTTCATTGTCAAGACAGTATTGTCCGGTGTAAACCCTAAGTTAGCATTTTCGACAACTGACCCCCTTACCAAATGTCTACAAGAACAANAAAAGGCAAAATAAAATAGCGAAAAAGGCAGGAAAAGGCACTATGTATTGCAAAAAAGGCAAACCAAAACATCGAAAAAGGCACTAGGTATTGCAAAAAAAGCAAAATAAGGCACTAAAAAAATACAGAAAATACGAAGGACAATCAAAAATACATTTATTTTAGAAATGTTTATATTACAAGTAAAAAGAGAAAAACTATGAACTAGTTTCATTATATGAAAAGTTTGTACCTTGTATCTTTGACTATTTTCTCCTCATTTCTGGCTCCTTTCGAGTTTCTAACTCATAAAACTTTAATCTGTATAGTTGTAGTAACATTGAACCACAAGATGCATTTTGAAGTTTTCTGGCAGCATTTTCATTCGATTTTCGCGAAGAAAAGCCTTGAATGTACTAAATGTGCGCTCGACGTAAGTTGATACAAGTGGAGCTCAATTTAAATATGGAACGTTTGAAACGTTCATATTATTAGGAATAAGGGCGTTTTCCTCGCTCTTTGCAATTTTATCCACACCCCTTATTGTCTCCAAGCCTACGTTACCTGAGAAAACGACTTTGAATTTTTCCAACACCAATTTGGCAAGAGATCCCTGCGCTTCTATTAGCCCCATGGGCATGTGTATATTTTTAATCTTAAAAAAAAATTTTAAATGCTATAATCACTTTTTTAAAGGTATAAAAGACAAAAAAGGGCAAATATCTTAAAAATGGCAAAAAAAGGCAACATCAAATGTGTATATATGGAATCAGGGAAAACTAAATCGTGGACATTTTTAATCGAATATACTCTATCTCTTTATCAGAAAAAAGGCAATTTCCATAAAATCCGTTCCCTGACAATGACAATAGCAATACATGCACACTTTTTCAATAACCCATGCATACTTTTCCATTGGAACAATTTTGACAACTAATACGTATATCTTCATTGTCAAGACAGTATTGTCCGGTGTAAACCCTAAGTTAGCATTTTCGACAACTGACCCCCTTACCAAATGTCTACAAGAACAAAAAAACAAATATTAAAAATCAATGCGATTATTTAGCCCCTTTAAATTTCCACATTATTGGACTGAAATTTAACGGGCTTTCAAACTGCATACTCAAAAAATTCTAAAAAATCTAAATGAAAAGTTGAAAATCTAGCTGGAGCTTTGCAGATTTTTTATAATTTTTGCATAAAGTTTGAAATGTGGATTTATATTTTGTGTGTTATATAATAAGCCTGGCTTTTATGGAAAAATAATAAACATAAAATAAACAAAAGAGAAACAGCCAAAATCGATCAAAATGTTGATGACTTAATCAGCTGATGATTTTTATATTAACGATCTCAAACCAGTTTACAATGAATTTTAAATGTGCTCTGTCAAGATGGTAATTTTTTTGGACATTAATTTGAATAAGACGTTTTTGGGTAGGAAATGACGTTTTTTCATACCAAGAGGGACGTTTTCTCATGCCGAAGACCTGGCAACACTGGCTAGTTCTCCAATCATTCTCTAATCGATAACTAACCTCAATGTTTGCTGGGTACTCTCCTCAACCTCGACAGGTGTAGCTGGCCCATGATTCAATAATACAAGGTTAGATAATTATTGACAGCCGCAGTTTGACACTCCCTTACATAAGGTTGCATTTACGAAGGATGGGGAAACGGGAGGAATGAAATCCATTGCTGCGAAAATGGTAGTAGAAAAGTACCCAAAGTAGGCAAATAGTAGTAAAATGCCTTTTGTAAATAATAACGAGAGAGACAACTGTCAGTTTATCGAACCTTGTATTATTGAATCGTGTAGCTGACCTATGTCTTATAACGAACCTATGCAAAATAAAACCAAAATTGTGTATTTTTTGCTCACTTATCCATAGCAATGAGCCCGTATAAATTAACTTGAAACAGCAATTTTGCGCAGAGTTCTAATAATTTTTCGCCTTTTTAATGACTCTCGTATTATTCAAATTTCATTTCAGGTACATACTATGTAGGTGTGTGCAAAGAACATAGCGATGGTGTAACTACCGGGCCGTTTCAAAAACTTGGCGATTGATTCACCACGATTTATTAAAGACCCGAACCGATAGTTTCACCCTCGAACTTTTACATGTTCTTTTGCATATATATAGTCTGTTCCTTTGAACTTCGGACTAAAACCTGTGGAACTGTTAAACTACAATTTTACTCTCTCAAGTGAGAGTAAAAGGAGAACAGATGCAGAAGTGCACGGGAACGCAAAAAGCACTATTTCCTGTAAAAACGTCAGTCGGTTTGTTTACATGTCATTTGTACCACACTGATTTGGCTGAAATATTACTAACTAATTATTAAAATGTATACATATTCAAATATTTCGTTGTTTACTTTCGTTGTTTTACAAATGTAAGGTTTTTGCTATCACCGCTTTCTGTTTTTGTTTGCACATGCAAATCAGCTGATCGTTTGACACTTTCATGAACTTCCAGGAAAAAAACTCCGGACTAAATCCTATAAGTTCTGACTAGTACTAGGTTCACATATAAGTAGATTATCCTCTTTTTCGAGCTTAGCACCCTAATCTGTAATTATAACAAGAGATTAGCCATATAAAATTCGTCCCTTGTTAATCTGTAATTATAAAATAATCTCAGATTTAACCGATAACTTTTCGGTGTCCATCCTAGTTTTATCGATTGTTTTTGCGAAAGAGAGGAGAAATGCCAAATGTAAAAGTAAACAAAAATGAACGCTAGCAAGTAAAAGAGGTTTGTATAGGTATTTTTAATAAAATGTTAAGTTAAAATATATTTATAATGCTTATTATAGCAGAAAAACGTGATCACGGTGGCACAGAGAAGAAACATAACTTTTAGTTGAGATGTGAGAATAACAAGCACAACAAATTTGACGGCTAATAATCTGAGATTTGCCTGTGTAAACGGGGTGATTAAAAAACGAGCTTTGATTGAGATAATATTGATATGTGAACATAGTTTAGGAACAGTTGCTCGGTTACTCTCTCAAAAGTGTTCCCACTTACAGGTTTTATGTCAATAGGAACGACTTCCTGTAAGTTCTGACTAGATTCCGTAAACCGGACTGCTATTGGAACAGACTAACAAACACATGATTATTATCGGAATAAGTCGAACCTTGAGTTGCCATTTTAGTAGTAATAACTTTATTTAAATAACCATATTGAGCAGAATAAATGTATTTGTTTATACTATTTTTCAAAGATTTAATTATTGTATGTATACAAAAATTAAAACTACAGTAAATATTAAAAAATAACCAAAATGGGAATGATCTTAACAACTTCACGGACAAGAAAAAAATAACCAAAACCCTGATGAAATGCGTACAATTGAAACCATGGGTTTGAAGATTGCGGAAATTGATGTGAAAATTTCAATTTCATATTAAAAATATTTATGTATGCATGTATGTACATATGCATGTAAAAATGTAGTTTCGATTTAAAAAAATCGGATAAAGTTTTTCTTTCGCCATTGGGTTATGCAGACAACTATAATCGTAAAATCCGATTTGTGACTCACAAATACATATGTACATACCTATGTATGTATACAACGCATCGCGACTGATTTTGTTTTAAATATACATACTCCTCTAATTTTAGTATTTATTTAAAAAAACTCAATAAAATTCAAAAACTATTACTTGCATTTGGTTTTACTCAATACCGATTTGAGCTGTCGCACAGTGTTATCAAAAAAAAAGTTATCAATGAAAATTCGTTTCTCTTGAAATCAAGTAATATGGCTGCGTTTGTATGTACATACTTCTAAGAAGACTAGAAATTTGACGATTTGCCAACTTACGTATCATTCTAAACGCATGCGCTAGGTATCGTAAATCAAAAAGCAGTTTTGCACATTCGATAGTTTGACATGGTATCGACGATATACTTATTTCTCCTAGAAAATTTACAGCAAAGGCAAAGTTATTTTCTAGCATCAGAAATAATGAAAATATATTTCTCGTGATATTTCTTGAGAAGCACAATGATATATTTTTTTTGTTAATCAACGAAAGGAATTTTTTTTAATACTTTTTTTTTATAACAAACAAACGACTTTTTTCTGATATTTTTTCTTATAAATAACGAAACGAACTTTTTTGCCGTTCAATTAAAGTAGCCTAAGCCGGGAAAAGGGCCTATTCTCTTTAAAGCAACATTTCATGGGATCCCAAACAATATTTTAACGTTTAACTAGCCATAGATATAGTTCAAGATGCCCTTTTAATAGAAACTTAATAAAAATATAAGCATTTTCAAGAGAAACTGGTTATTTTTTAATTCAAAGTCAAACCTTTTAAAGTATCTTTGATTGAACGGTACATATATATGCATTCCTTATAAAAAATTGGCGTACATAGTTTGTACGAGAAAAAACGCCTTAAGTACTTCATGTTTGCACTTTATTATACTAAAATTTAATGTCCAACAAAACTGCATACCATTTTTTGGAAATTTGGATTTATATGGTGTTCGTTAAGTAATCAGCTTTGCTTTCATACAAAAATAATCTATATATATAAAAATGAAATGTTTTCCGTATGACGGCGATGCCTGACCAAACGGCTGAACCGATTTCAATTCTGTAAAAAGTACTATTTTGGACCTTCTGTGTGGAAGGTTCTTTGATTTAAAAAAATTTTAAATTTTTTGTTATTGTTGCCGAAAAATTATGAAAGCTGAGACGTCACGATTTCACAATTTCATAGAGTTTTCCGCATATTGAATGTCTCTAAACTACTAAACGGCTGGACCGATTTCGTTCATATTTGGAACATATTTCAGCACCTTGAAGGGAAATATTTCGACTAAAAAATTTAATCGCTAGGTGGCGCTGGGGTCTGGATATTCATAAAAATTGCATTTACTTGCTGATTTGGCTCATATTTAGAAAACAATTTAGCCAATTTAAAAGAAATATTTGGACTTTAAACTTACACGATAGGTGGCCCTGTGGCCGAGACATCCCCAAAAATTATTTTACGCTAAGAGAAGGATATATCTACTATATATTTGTGGAAGTATGTATGTATGTACATATGTGCCAGGTTGCGGCCTAAACGGACGGTCAGAATCGAACAAAATTTTGACAGAGTATTGCCATTACACCTGGGCCTATAATAGGGTAAAAAAATTGGGATTCGAAAAGGGGGCGTGGCACCTCCCATAGGCGTGAAACTTTAATTCAACCATAACTTCCGATCTATAAGTCACATGAACTTGAAATTTGGTATGCAGTCATATATATGGTAGGTGCTTGAGGTAGAGTGTATATAAATGACTTTGTAAAAGTGGGCGTGGCACATCCCATAGGCGTGAAATTTGTTATCAATCATAACTTCGTAACCATAAGTCGCATGAACTTGAAATTTGGTATACAGTCATATATATGGTAGGTGCTTATAGTATGGTATAAATAAATGAGTTTGTAGAAGTGGGCGTGGCACATCCAGTAGGCGTGGAATATTTTACCAGCTATAAATCCGAAAATATAAGTCATATGAACTTGAAATTTGTTATTCAGTCATACATATGGTAGGTGCTTATAGTAGGGTATATATGAATGAAGTTATAAAAGTGGGCGTGGCACATCCCATAGGAATATTTTATCAGCTATAACTCCGGAACTATAACCACGTGAACTTGAAATTTGGTATGCAGACAAAGCTATGGTAGGTGCTTAAAGAAAAGTATATATAAAGGGGTTTGTAAAAGGGGGCGTGGCACATCCCATAGACGTGGAAATTTTTATCAGCTATAATTTCACAACCATCAGTCACATGAAATTGAAATTAGGTATGCAGACATATCTGCGGTAGGTTCTTACAGTAGGCTATATATACATGAGTTTTTAAAAAGGGGCGTGGCACATCCCCTAGGCGCGGGCCCCTTTATCAACTATAACTTGGGAACCACAAGTCCCAAGAACTTGAAATTTGGTGTGCAGGCATATCTACGGTAGGCGCTTTAAGTAAGGCATATATAACTGAGTGAAACATCCTATAGGCGTGGAAAATTCGGAATCAAGTCACGCGAAAATGTCACGCGAAATTGAAATTTGGTACGCTGACGCAGCTATAGTAGGTGCTTATAGTAGGCTATACATAAGTGAGTTTGTAAAATGGGGAGCGGCACGTCCCATGGACCTGGAATGTTTAATCGGCTATAACTCCGGAGCTGTAAGTCGCTTGAACTTGAAATTTCGCACGCAGCCATTTTAATGGTAGGTACTTATATTAGGGTATATATAAATGGGTTTGGAAAAGAGTGCATGGCACATCCAATAGGCATGGAATTTTTATCAGCTATAACTTCGGAACTATAAGTCCCACGAACTTGAAATTTAGTATGCAGATATATCAATGGTAGGTGCTTATATATAAATGTGTTTGCAAAAGGGGGCGTGGCACATCCCATAGGCGTGGAAAATGTTATCAGCTATAATTTCAAAACCATAAGTCAAATGAAATTGAAATTTGGTACGCAAACGTATCTATGGTAGGTGCTTATAGTAGAGTATCTTAATATATGTATAAATATCCCGTGTCACTGTGTTCGTTTACGCTAATCTCCGATACCGCTTGACCGATTTCAATGAAATTTTGTGGGTGTGTATTGTTGGTTCCAACTTAAAAGATAGGATAGTTGTGAACCCGAGAAAAATTTTTTTTTTCATCGAAATTTTTTCTATGCTGCTCGCATCGTGCTTATCTAATATATATATATAAAAATCGAACTCTTCCTAAACGGCTCGACCGATCTTTATGAAATTGTTTGTGTTATATATGGTAGGTATGAGAATCGGATGTAAAGTATATTTCATACCGCTAGGTCCAGGGGGCGTGGCACCTCCCATACAAACCGAATTTTTCATATCGCACATCTCTGGAAGTGGTCATGGTAGACTACTCGAATATGGTATGGAGATATATGAAAGCAATCGCATACTCATGGAGATAAATTGTGGTTATCGAAAAAGGAGGCGTGGCACTTCCCATACACATCGAATTTTTCATACTGCATATCTCTGAATGTGTTCATAGAAGAGTACTGGAACTTGGTATGTACAAGATATGTAAAACGCGACTGGTCATGAAGAAAAGTTGGGGCTATTGTAAAAAGGGCCGTGGCACCTCCCATGGTAAATTACTCGAAAATGGTATAGAGATATATGAAATCAATCACATGCTCTTAGAGAAAATTGGGGTTATTTGAAAAGGGGACGTGGCGCCTTTCAAACGCACTGAAACTATTACGTATCTTTGTATGCATGCACAGTTTTGCTAAGTTATTTAAGACGGCAAATATGCCTTCTGACAACCACCAAACCGTAATATTAGAAGACAAATGCGTCACTAAAAAT